CAAGATAACCAAACCCGTCCATTTGTTTATGGAACGTAGAATATACAATTCTATGTGTATTCTAACATTGATTTTGCAAGTTCTAAATCGCATGTGGTTTTTTCTCGTGAATTTTTTTGGGGTTATATATGTTTCTTTCATCTAACTATCTGTTATTTTATTTTTCATGTCGTTTTGAAAAGTTTCAAAAATCAGAAAATTTTTCAAGTGATGTGTGTTATTCGAGTTTCTTCAAATTAATTATCTCTATTTGCGTCACATGATCTACAGTTTCTTACAGCAAAGCATGGATATTTATAATAATTATTCGTTTTACGTGATTTCTATCTCCCATATATTTATTTCTAAACATTTTTGTATGAGCTATTTGGAATATCAGGAACTGCTCTGATGCTGAACGAACGATTTCAAACACCCGAAGAACGTTTCTAAGTGTACTTCTTTAAGAGGATATTACGGACAGCCTTTTCTCATTTTCTAACAATAAACTGTTTTTGTTTTGAATAGGGAAACTGAAAACTTAGAATAAAGACAAAGTTAGTTTTCTTTACATACAATTGTGTGTTCTACATCTTTGTCACAACTACACTTCATTTCGAAGTACTAAATCGCATGTCGTCTGTTCTCTTGATTTGTTTTTAGTTTATGTGGGTTTCTCGCACATAACTCTACGTTTGTGAATTTTTAATATTGTTTTGAACTATTTCTTTACTTATGTACTTTTTAAAGTGTTTATATAGCTTCAAGTTTTTTCACGTTAATTATCGTTTTTCTATTATGTACATTGTTAAACATGTTTCTACTCGAATTTATTGCTTTTCGTGTTATTCGTAACTTACTTTCTTTTAATGTGTTTTGTCTTAATCGAGGTTGTGTCTTTATCTTTGTTATTCCATGGATACCTTTTTAAGTTTGTTCTCTCACTAATCCACTACCATAAACCAATCATACCGTGAAACCATCTTTAGAATACGTGACCTGAATATATAAAGGACATATATTGAAGTTTTTCTTCATTACCCATTCAAGCCATCTCCATCCGATATGATAATAGCATGTTTTCTTCTAGTATTTATTGGTTTTAATATTATTCACAGCTAAATCACTTGTTGCGTGATTTACGTGTTATATGTACAATGGTATCGATTTACGTGATTTTCATGTGGTTAACAGGAAACGATCGTTTTTCATAATTAGCATTCTTTAGAGGTGTTTTGTTTCTTCCCTCTCAACTGGATCAACTGGAAGCGATATAAAAATTTAAATAATTACATAAGTACAGAAACTTTTTAAAACGATATTGAAAATTCATAAACAGAGAGTTAGATGCGAGAAACACACATAAACCAAAAATAATTCAAGAGAACAGACGACATGCGATTTACAACTTGCAAATGAAAGGTAGTTGTGACAAAGACGAAGAACACACAATTGTATATAAAAATAACTAACTACGTCCTTATTTTAAGTTTTCAAACTTCCTATCCACTACAAAAACAGTTTAGTCTTACAAAATGTGATAAGGCTGTTCGTAATGTTTTATTAGGAGTACAGTTATAATGAATTTTCGTGTGTTTAAAATTTGTAGGTCAGCACCATATCGGTTCTTGTTATTCCAAGAAGCTTCTATAAAAGGTATTTAGAAATAAAGATAAGGAAGAGACAAAACACGTAAAACGAATGCTTATTATAAAAACCGATGCTTTGTTGAACGAAAATCTAAACCAATATGAAAGTCACGCAAGTCAATACATAACACATGGATACAACGCAAAATGAGATTTAGCTGTCAACATCACTAAAAACAATAAATAGAAAAAACACTCTATATCATACTTGATTAAAACCAGCGAAAAGAGAGTCAGCTCGGAATAGCATAGCAAAAGATACGAATAGACTCGTTAAATAATGTAGAAAACACAAAAGTGATAATTAACTTGAATAAATTCGAAACGATATCCGCACTAAATAGAAACGATATGAAAAAGGAAGGAACAGATAGTTAAATGGGGGGAACACAAATAAACGAGAATTAATACTTTAGAACAAGTGTTTATGTTTATTTGTAATGAAGCACAAAGCTACACAATGGGCTATCTGTGTTCTGCCCACCACGGATATTGAAACCCGGATTCTAGCGTTATAAGTCCGCAGACATTCCGCTGTGCCACTGGGGGACTACTTTAGAACAAACGACATGCGACTGAGAACTTGTGAGAAACAAATAACTAGCCTTGTCCTTATTCTAGGTTTTCCTACCCTGTAGAAGAAGAGACTAGTTTTAAAAAATCTCATGAGGCTATTCGTAATATTTTATTACCAATACAACTATAATCGTTCTTTGAGTGTTTATAATAGTTAGGTCAGCACCTTAATAATTGTTGTTGATCCATATAGCTTATATAAATAGTGTTCAAAAAACAGAGGAGAGAGAGATTCAAAATGCACCCACAGAGAGTTAGATGAGAGAAACACATATATACCAAATATAACTCAAGAGAACAAACCACATGCGATTTAAAACTTGCAAAGACGTAGAACATACAATTGTTTATAAAAATAACTAACCTCGTGCATATTCTAAATGTTTCAATTTCCTATCCACTACAAGAACAGTTTAGTGTTACAAAATGTGAAAAGGCTGTTTGTAATGTTTAAAATCGTTAGGTGAATACCATAGCAATTCTTGTTATTCCAAATAGCTTATATAAAAAGTGTTTAGAAATAAATATAAGAAAAAGACGAAACACGTAAAACGAATGCTTATTAGAAAAAACGATGTTTTGCTGGACGAAATCACGTAAATCGATACATAACACATGGATACCGCGAAAAAAAAAGATTTAGCTGTCAACATCACTATAATATTAGGATTATTTTCTAATGCGTGTTTTTTTTTCACAGCTATTATTTCTTGTATTTGCGATTTCATTGTGCAAGTTAAGTAACTTTTTACGCGTTTTCTATAGTTAATTATCTTTTAGGGTGATTACTACATGGATTATGTTGGTTTCCGTTTTTAAACTGCTACTTTACGTGATTTAATGATCTAATTATCGTTTTCTTTCATTTCTGGAAGCTATTTATATTTCTTAGTGTTTCCCCTGTCGTTTTTCATGCTCTGTCTTTTTAATAAGTTATTTCTTCTTTTGTATAAATTTTAGTATGTTATCCTTAACTGTCTGACATTTTAAGCGTTTTCTCAATGTAAAAATCGTTTTTGTGTTTTGCATGTTTCATCACGTTCTCAACTCGTACCTATCGTTTTACGTGTTATACACAAGTAACCCTCGTATACTGTGATTTCGAAGTATCAACTGATAAGTTTCGTAGTTGATTTGGTGTGCTTGCTACACTAGAATATTGGTTTATATGATTTATATATCTAATCTACAATTTTAGATGAATTCTCTAATTGGTTAACACTATAATACAAGTCACTTGATATAACAACAATTGTTATAATGTGGAAATACGTTTAGAAACTCGCAAAGAATTGATATAATTGTACTCGTCATAAAACTTTAGAAGTAAGCTTATTTAATATTTAAACACTATATTGTTTACTTCCCGCCGTAGACATTTCAAGAGACATAACGAAAGTTCAACAAACAAACACATGAGGATAGTTTTAGTTGTTTTCTATAGCTCACTATCCCTTAACGTGATTTCTATATCCTTCTGCACGTATTGGAAATGGTTTATGCGATATCTATAGATAATGTAACGGATTTATTATTATACATATATTTTAATATCGACGTTTGTTTAGATTAAACTTATATTTAGAAACATACAGAGCTTATACTGTTAAATATGTATTGCGAAACACCCGCCTATTCTATAAAGTTGGGGATTTTTGAGTGTAAGGATCAACAACATATGTATGTACGTAAACGCTTAAATGTAGCTTTGCATTGTTACGTAAAATGATATTTCGATACTCTCCACATGCCTATAAATATAACCAACACCACGCGCCAAAAAAGAGTATCTATTATTAGTTCGCTATAGTCAGTGTGCTAT